GAATGCGACTTGGAAAATCGAAAAAAAAAAAATTAGAGGTCGCTCAAGTCGATTTTAGTTTTTTTTGCCGAAAAAAAGAAAAATTTTGTTGAATCTTCAAAGTCGTGTAAAATCGACAAATTTAAATAAAAATGCATAAAATTTTAACAGAATATTAGTGAATCTTTATAGTTTACAAAAATATTGTTCATTTTTTAAATTTTGAAAAAAAAAAATTTCAATTTTTTTTATTAGGGAAGAATCTTTTGTTTATAACAATTGAGCGCCTGTCGCGCACACTTTTTACGATTAAAATACGTTCTAGGAACGCCTAAGAATAATTTCACATGCACAATACGTCGTGCGCGACAGGCGCTCAATTGTTATAAACAAGAAATTTTTTGTTGAAAAAATTTTTTTTTTTTAAATTTAAAAAATTAACATTATTTTCGTAAACTATAAAGATTCACTAATATTCTGTTAAAATTTTATGCAATTTTATTTAAAATTGTCGATTTTACACGACTTTGAAGATTAAACAAAATTTTTCTTTTTTTCGGCAAAAAAAAATTAAAATCGACTTGAGCGACCTCTAATTTTTTTTATTTTCCAAGTCGTATTCTTCTTTTTATAGAGTAAACTACCAAATGATGGGGTGTAATAAAAAATATAAGAGAAGTCACTTTTTTTTAATCAACCCAGCATATTCTTTCATTCAAGAATAACATTTTATTATATCAATATATTTACGGATTTTGACTGAAACTTACTGTTTTTATTGAGAAAATTATATGACATTATTAATGTACTTACTTACTACATTTTAGGGCAACTTTACTATTTTTTAAGTAACCATACTCGCTAAAAAGTTGTAATACCTAGTAACAAAAATTATATCAAACAACCTAAATCATGTAAGCTTTAGTAGTTATAAAACATATCAATTCCATTCTAATACTTTACAGAGTTAGGGTTAAATAGGCTATACCTATAATATAAGCAATTGTTATATGATATATTTTAAAGCAATAGGTATAAACTATTTAACCCAACTATAATATTATTAATTTGATTTGGATGTCAGGACAAAATGCATAGGGGGAATTCCACGTGAATTCGACACGAAAAAAACCTTTGCCATTTCGAAATTCCTTGGCAATTTTTCCATGGGTTCCCTGACTCAAAAAAAAAATTCAATTTTAATTTTAGCACGGTTTTTCAATTGTTTTTGGAGATATGATTTTTTAAATTTTCATGATTATATCGATTGTGCCAATATGTCATCGATCATAAATTTGGTTCCAATTGAGCGATTTCGACGAACGACCAATTAATTTTCTTGTCTTGAAACAAGCTATTTGAAATAAATATTTTTGATGCTGTGGCGTATCGGCACACTATGATTTTTTTCTTCAAAAACTAAAAATCCATTTTCTACATTGTTTGTAAATATTTTTTTTAATTTTAATTTTTTCTTTAATCTTTAAGCGAATAAAAGTTTTTTTATCTATATTAGATCGTGGCTATCGAAAAATTAATATTTTTTTCGGAATTTTAAATTTTAAATTTTATTAATTTCTATTTTTTCCACTTTCGGACATTTTGTAATATCAACAACACAAAGTGTTAACTTCGCAGAATTGCCTATATAATATTATCTCCTATTTTTCCGCAAATTTGTTGTAAATTGATTATGAGTAATTTTCCTTCTATTAAATATAATAAACGTTTGCATAACTTTCATATTGCATATTATATTAACTATTTTAGTTAAAAAAAAAAATTTATAGCATACACTGAGAGAAAAATGCCTATATAATATTATCTCCTATTTTTCCGCAAATTTGTTGTAAATTGATTATGAGTAATTTTCCTTCTATTAAATATAATAAACGTTTGCATAACTTTCATATTGCATATTATATTAACTATTTTAGTTAAAAAAAAAATGTATAGCATACACTGAGAGAAAAATTTGGTCCGAGATAATATCAAACAAATACAATTAATTAATTAAAAATTTATTTATTTGAACATCAAATTTAATTCGATTTTTTTTAAATAAAACTGCATTTTAAAATTTTAAATAATCTTTTTCGATTCAAATTGTTTGCTCAAATAATTAAATTTAAAATTTATAAAAAAATTCTCAGTGTAGGAGCCAATTTGGTCCATACTCTGGATCCGTATTATTTATACACATTTTTAATTTGTAGAACAATAATGGTTGTAATTGTGGTAGTTGTTAAATGTAATAATGTATTTTAACTAAATTATGTATAAAATATAAATTATAAATATGGGCTTTTTGGATGTTAATTATTCTGCATTTAAATACACCGGTCCATTTAGCATATTTTATTGATTTTAAAATATGCATGTTAAATTTTACCTTAATTACTAGGTTTATTTGCAGCTAAATTAATTTACATGTGTATTTTGCTTTCTCTCTATAGAATATTTTGTAATTAGATAATTACATTTGTTATTAATTATTGGTTTATATGATTAGGAGATAAATAAATTAATTGATTATATTTGAATATAACAGTAAACAGGAATTTTAAGTTATATTGCAGTTTTAAATGTAAGGACCAAGAACACTATTAATAGTGTGTGAACGAAGAGTAAGAACTTTTTTCTACTCCCACCTTTAAAACGCCCTTTATCGTACATGTTTCCATGACACTAAGTGACCTTTTAAATACACATTGACAAGTTGTGGCTTTATGGCGCTTTAGTCACGGGCTGAAGTTAGTTTTAAGTTAGTTGACAGTTGACAAATGTCATACAATCGTTAAAATAAAGTACCTTTCTTGCAAAATAATACTAAATATAAAAATACAAAAGTATTAAATAGTTTCTCAACGCCAATATTTGAAAAGTTTATATGAACATTGTTCTGACCTTTTAATTTCGCCGGCAGTCAACTATAACTTAAATTCGGGCACGGACTCCACTGTAAAGTGCTCATAAAACATTTTCTTTACTTTCACTGTGAAAAACTGTCAATTTTCAAGAAATACATTTCGATTTATAAACTTTATACTTGTGTTTATAAAATACAAAAATTTGACATTTGACGGTGACACACAGATTCCTCTATTGTTTCATAGATGGCGCTCTATACAAATTTTTGATTTAAATCATTTTAGGATAATAATAAGTATTTGTAGTAGAAAAAGTATAGTATGCACCTCGTTTATAAACTTTTCTATAGACTCATTAATTTAAGCCCTCGCTCGCAAGCTCGCTCGTGCCTAAATTAAATTCGTGTATGAAATGGCGTTTATTAAACTTGATACATAATATACTATTATCTACTCCTACATGGGTCAAGGGCTGAAGTTAACAACAGTGATTTTTGCGCATTTTATTCACGGGCTAAAGTTAGCTCTATTATAAATTGCGAAAAAATGAGGTTAAATTTGTTAATGTCAAATATTTATTAATTAAAATTGGCTTTAAACTCTGTTCGACGTAGAGAAAGTTTAGTTGCATGCAACTCGTTTTATAAACATCTCCGGACACTCATTTTTTAAAAACACTCGCTCGCAAGCTTCGCTCGTGCCTAATAAAACTCGTAACTAAAATGAAGTTTATAAAACTTGATACATAATATACTATTATCCGAAATCGGCAGTAAAGTAGTCAACAATCGGCAGTAAAGTAAAAGAAATCGTCTGTAAAGTAGAACTTTACTGCCGATTTAAGATGTGTCTACTGCTCCTCAGCAGCAAATAAAAAATATTTTAAAAAAAGCACCGTCGCGGAGGTCGATTGGACCCTTTCATAAAATGTTTAATAAAAATAAGTTAATTTTATTAATTAGATTAAAAAATCGCCGCGGCGGGCAAATATTTAATAACCGTCGCAACAAACAGTATACTTAGACACTTCCTACATTCAAATGATATTTGATTTAATCATTAAATGACATTTGATTTATTCATCAATATTAATTATTAGTACGAGCCCTAACCACAAAATGTTCGGACACTTCATAATTTATACAGAAATATTTTTCGTGAATACTATCTCAAAATTATTAGAAGTTATGAAAAATTCAGCTTATTTTGGCATATACCCCTCGAAGCGATTTTTATTTTTAAAAAGTTTACCTTTTATTTTTAGCTTTTAAAAAAAGGCTAACTTTTTAACTTTTTTTTGTATGAGTAAAAAAAGTTATAAATGGACCCATTAAAAAGAACATAAAATATTATACAAACCCTGAAAGTTTAGTAAAAATTGTATAAATAATAAGAAAGTTATAACGATATATATATCTGCAAAATCTCCCGTTTCCTAAGAAAATTGCAAAAACTCTTTAAAAATAGCATTTTTAAATTACTTATACTTTTTTATAACTAATTTATTTTTTACCAAATTTTCAGGGTTTGTATAATATTTTATGCTCTTTTTAATGGGTCCATTTATAACTTTTTTTACTCATACAAAAAAAAGTTTAAAAGTTAGCCTTTTTTTAAAAGCTAAAAATAAAAGGTAAACTTTTTAAAAATAAAAATCGCTTCGAGGGGTATATGCTAAAATGAGCTAAATTTTTCATAACTTCTAATAATTTTGAGATAGTATTCACGAAAAATATTTCTGTATAAATTATGAAGTGTCCGAACATTTTGTGGTTAGGGCTCGTATTATTAAATGTGATTTCGGATAAAATTTAATATGCACCTCGGCATTAAAGCCATTTTTTATCACTCACGTGGTTACTTGAATCGGCTTTCTCCTCGGAAAATAATTTCCACGTTCATGATAAAAAATACGACTTTACTGCCTTGATACATTAATAACTATTATCCCGGCGCATTCGCCATTTTGACAAGTATACTGGTCAAAAATGGCGAATGCGCCGGGATACTTACATTGAAATCTAATAAATAATAATTATTTTGTTTTTTGTTATAATAATAGTTTTTTAATATTAACTTGATAAATAATCAATCAATTAATGCTATACCAAATAGTTTAAAAAAAATTTAATTTAATTTATTTATTTTCAGTTATGTTTCGTCTATATGACACAGACGGAAATGGAGTTTTGGATACGAACGAAATGGACTCCATTGTTAATCAAATGATGACTGTAGCGGAATATTTGGGATGGGACGTAACCGAATTAAAACCGGTAAGTTTATTACGACTTTAATTTATCCAATTACGGATAATTCACATTTAGTACCAAATTTATCAAATAAACCTTATCAAGTTGTAAAAATTACAGTTCCTTTGTTGTTTATTTGGAGTTGGACATACTTGAGTATGTTAGTAGTATATGCTTGTATTTGTTTTTATTTTTAATATCACTAATTGTGGGGACATTTCTGAATTTTGTTCTCTGGACGAATCGGCCGTTAATTTTATTACAAAATAAAAAATCCGAACCTATATAATAAAAAAAGTTTAAATAATAATATTTTTAATTTACGTATTTGTTTGTATTTTAAATTTCTATTAAAAAAAATAAACCCAAGAATACATCAATGAATAACTTAATATTTATGAGTAGCTTCTGCAACAGCAGGAGGAGCAGTAACAGGAACAATATAATTATACCCATAAATTACCCCGTCATAAAGCGTCCTTATTTTTTAAGTAATTAATACGATCCTTTACAATATTTTGCTTAAAAAAAACAAGCTGGGAAAATTTAGTCCTCATTATGTTATACGCAGGCATTTTGGTATTTATTTATTGGTTCATTTATTTATTTATGGGACATTTACCCTATTTAGCTAATTTAAAATGAGAAAACTGTAAACTTGTATTATTTATTAAAAAATATTTCGACTTAAATAATAATTTACGAATTTAGAGTGATCTATAGACATCGAGAACTTTTGACATTCAAATACAAATAATTAAGGTCATCTATTTTTTAGTTTAACGCTTATTTCGTATTATTTTAGCACAGTATCTAATATTTTGATAAACGCATTTTAGCGTCGGTTTAAAAAAAATGTATTAGCAAAATAACAATGTCATTATCTAAAGCAAAAAAGTATATTTTTAAAATTACCAAGTTATGTTCACAAAAAAATAATTTTTCACAAATTAGAAGCAATTGTAAAATTATTTAAAAGCTTAAAATTTAAAATCTCTAATATTTGATAGGTTACCATTTATGTGATTAATTTTAATTTTAATATTAAAACCGGTTTACTAAAATATACATTTTTTAGTAAAAAGGTTTTTAATATAATAATATGTCTAAATAAAAAACGTCATAATAGTTATTTATGTATTAAGGGCATAATAAGGTTTTTATGGTCCATAAAAACCAGTTATGCCAGCAATGCATACAAAACTTTATGCACGATTAATATATTATTATTTTTAATATATTATTGTTTTTAAAGACGTTTACGTCAAAGATTTTTTGTTATAATTGTCATATTATAATGTCAACTGACATCAGTCAGTTTTAAAGTTTAAAGATGAATGAAATAGAGGAAGCAGCTGAAAAGGCGAAAAATTGCGGCCTGCTGCCGGAAAAATCAAAATCTTTATACGAAAAAACTTACTTCGAATATATCAAATGGTGTAACATTGTTTTTTTTAATTTTTGACGTTTCATTATAGCCCGCTGGGTCATAATAACGCCCGCGGGCTATAAAAAGACGTTTACGTCAAAGAATTTTTGTTATAATTGTCATATTATAATGTCATCGTGCATAAAGGTAAATTATTGATTGTTAACTCTAAATAAAAAACATCACAAAGGTAGGTATATATTATTATTAGTATTATTACAATCCTTTAGAAATATACCTACAATTCAAATAAATATACTATTTCTTAAAATTTGCTCTCTCTTTTAGATCCTGCAGGACATGATGATCGAGATAGACTACGACGCTGACGGGACGGTCTCGTTGGAAGAATGGAAGCGGGGCGGCTTGACCACGATACCGCTGCTGGTCCTTTTAGGATTGGACGCTAACGTCAAAGAGGACGGCAACCACCTGTGGCGCCTCAAACACTTCAGCCGTCCTGCATACTGCAATCTATGCCTTAACATGCTCGTTGGCCTCGGCAAGAAGGGACTCTGCTGCACGTGTGAGTGTTTTTGTTTTTTAGTGGTTCAGTAGGTTAAGTTTAAGTCGTTGAATGTAAAAATACAGCATTATAAACATTGTGTAGGTACCTACCACCATACTACAATATTATAAATATAGAAAATTACGTACATATCGAGGTTGTTATGAAAATAAACAAAATAAGAAAGCATATAAAAAGTCCGACCTTTACATTTGAATACAAATAATTGAGGTTATCAGTTTAACGCTAATTTAGTCTTATTTTCTGAAAATAATACAATGTTTTAAATTATTATCCATTGATTATATATTCCATAGTGCCCCTAAACCTAACAAGTTTAGCCAAAATGTTTAAATCTTTTAAGCAAGTTGTAGATTCGTGCTTTGGTCTTTATAAAGAAGCTATAAATATTTTGTATTTTAAAAACCATTACATTAAAAATACATTGTGTTATGTTTCATATTGAGCAGTTTTGTGATAGTTGCAATGAAGGACTGGGTATTAGGGTGAAGTGAAAAACATGGTGGTAACCATTTAATATGCCCATATTGGCTAAGCAAAATACATGATGGTAAAAATTTAATTCGCCTATATTCGGAAAAGTGGTAAAATATTATCACAATTATCGAAAAAAAAAATGATTTTGATCGGACAATGGAGGGTCCGCCACCTCTTTAAAGTGCAGATTTTATCTTTATCTTTTTTCGTTAGTTGTGGTAATAGGACACCACTTTCTCCAATATAGGCATATTGTGGGTTTCGGTAAATTAACCTTAAAATTGAAATTTGACAGTTTAATGACAGCCCTGATAGAATAAGGATAATTTATTGCCAAATAGGAGCACTTTAAGGCTTAGAAGTGCCTCTGTAAGAAAAACAACGTTAAATCTGTATAAACAGCATAAACCCAAACAACATAAAAATGGCCGCCGTTCGAGTCTGTGCAGTTTGCAGTGATTTTTAGCCTGTTTTGGTTTAGGATTTTTATTATGCGCAAAACGAGATATAACAGACCTTGTTGTGTGGTTTGTGTTTTATTTATTTACTACTACTTTCGAGGCAATTTTTTGCAATATTCGGCCATTTCAAGCGCGCGAAACGCACGAATTACAAAACTGTTTTTATAAAAAAATTGTAGATTATTTATTATATAATATTTTGGCATCAAAATTGTCAAAAATATTCTTCTTTTATTAGGTTATACAATCACTGAACCAAAAAGTAGCGTAAATACAATAAAAAAGTTCATTGTCTCGATGAAATGCTACATTGATTCTGGTCCAACGAACGATTTTATTAAATCAATGAAACCCATTTCAATAATTGATCAAAGAATTTATTAACCAATAAATAATTAATTTTATTAATAAAAATCAATTCATTGAAAAGAAAATGTTAGTTTTCTTTATTCAATGAAATATATATTATTATAACATATGTTATTGTTGTAACGAACACTATTTATTTTTTAAATAACTATATTTTGTTAATTCGACAATTGTTAGTTATTAATTATATGTATTTCTTTTATTAGTCTTATCAATATTAGTAATAGTTAGAAAGAATAAAAATTATTATTACAATTAATTGTATTCGTTGATACTGTAATCGTTAAATATAGATCAAATGTATATATTCATACTCTTAACGAACTATTGTAGCTGATGCAACAAATGACATTGTCAATACAATGAATTTTAGTAATTGTTATAATAAATCAATTTAGTACTGTAATGAACTTAATTTATCAATACAATAAGTCTACTCTCTAAAAATGTATTAGCCAAAAATGACTAATTTAATAGTTATTAGTGGCTGCTTTTTCACTTGTACCATGGTTAACCATGGAATACCATGGTATCTTAAAATTTAACAGCCAATTCATATGTAAAATTGTCCCCTGAATCCGAAAATACCGTCAAAAATTATGAAACTGGAGCAGTTTTTAAAATAGTCAATTCTATAATAAATGGAAAATTGACTATATCTCAAAAACTGTCCTACTTTTTTAACTTTTAACGACATTTTCAGATTCAGGAGACAATTTTACATAAGAATTGGCCGTTAAATTTTGGGATACCATGGTATTTAACCATGGTTAACCATAGTACAAGTGAAAAAGCAGCCACTAATAACTTTTAAATTAGTCATTTTTGACAAACTCATTTTTAGAGGCAAGTTGGAAAAGACAGAAAAAACCAAATTTTTTTTGTCCTTTCCCGCCTGTGCCCTTTGCTGTGAATTTCCAATGTTAATGATGAATTTGATAGACTTGCAAATACTAATAATTTTTTAAATGACTTTTGACAAAATAAAAAAAATTATATTTATTGTTTTATTTTTATTTTTTTTTAAATAATACAAATATAACTTAACAACATGTTTACCAACCACAGACTTAGTTTATAAAAATTGCAAAATTTCTTGTATATTCTTCTTCTCTTGGTGGAACGATAATACTCCTAAAATATAAAGAGAATATTTTGTGACAATCTTTTTAAGGCGTAAAGAGTAAAGATCACTAAACATCCCAATTTTTCAGTCGGAAATCTGTCTAGAATTTCTCTTTTCGGTCTATAACTGATTGCTAAGGTAATTGGAACACCTTTAAATTTAATAAATTGCGCTACCAAGTTTGAGGTTAGCTGTTCATCTTGAAATTTAAAAAATGTATTGTAATATTCCACGCATAGAACCTTTAGGAGTTTTATTTAATATATTAAATAAATATACAAAAATACAATATGGTGCGAAACGCAGTTCTTGGCATGGTGGAGTTGATGCTCTGGAAGCACATGCCGATGGATTCATAATTATTATTAATTTGTGTTTGATTACCTGATGTTTTTGCATTTAAAACATTAATTTCAAGCTCTCTATTTAGAACGTCGTTTGGATCGTTGTTGAGTTGGGTATTAAATTTTTCAAAAAATTATTGTTTAAATGTTTTCTATTTATATGTTTTTTAAAACTACTTAAGTTTTATAAACTTTGACCACAATTAGGTATCTTCAAAACATCTAAATACTGAATTTTTGGTAAGATCTTGATTTCGTTTAAAATGCAATATAAGTAATTTTAGGAAATTAATTTTATTTGCAAAACATCGTGTTTCGACTCTAACTATCCGAAATTTAAATTAGTTTTCCTACGCTTTAGGATAAGACGCTATAAGTGTTTTTTAAACCTGTAAGACCTAATACTAATAAATCAGTTTATCAAAATTATATTTAAAAACTAAATTATAATTACCTTTTTTTAAATAAAGCCAGTCACTAAGACAAACACTGTACTAAGGTCTGTGGTAATAAGAAATATCCTCTTTCCTGCAGTTAATGCCCGCACTATTTTTCAAATGAAGGAAACTATTATTCTTGTCAAGAATTTTCATGTCCTTATTATTGTTCCATCGTAAACATTCAATAAAACAATTTAATCCCTACGTTAAGACAATATTAATAATTTTTGTTATATTTCATTTGTTTGGTTGTACGTTAATATAATTAACATTAACATTAGCTGTGTGTACATTAATTCAATGATTGTTTTATCGTTAGGACAGTACATTTATTCAATGAATGCGTTTGTTAATATAAAGTATGCGTTTCATTAATGGATGAATACTGTACATTAATACCGTGATTTTTATAATTAGAACCAAGTACATTATTTCAATGAATGCATTCGTCAATGTAATGTATACTTTTAATCAAGCATTTTATTTGGTCGTTGCGGAAATTAATCGCAAAACATTAACACAATGGACAAATTATCATTTAATACTTTATTACATTATCATAACGAAACAATTTAGTAAAAGTTGTTCATACAAATTAATCAACAAATTCATGTATTTAATGAAATTGTTTACTGGACCGATAAAAAATTTGTTGTCAAAATAAATATTATACATTGACTAATGTAAAATTAATTACTATTACAATAACTACTAGTTCATCATGATGATGAACCAGGTGATTAGTTAATAAAATACCGTACTTAACATTTCTTTACATTAATTAAAAAATCGTTGTCCCAATAAAATATTAGTCAATAAACAGTATTAATTGATATTATGGACTAAATTTTTTTCAGTGATCAATAAAAAAAAACGCAAGAAATATTTTATGAAAGTAGATATAATTTTAATAATTGAAAGGTGTGGACGGGACAAAAAAAAGATTTATCTTGTCCCGTCCATCCCTGTCAATTATTGAAATTATCTCTACTTTTATAAAATATTTCTTGCGATTTTTTTTATTTAATGTATAGCCTAATAATAGAAGAATATATTTGACAATTTTGATGGAAAAATAATATATAATAAATTACCTACAATTTTTTTTATAAAAACAGTTTTGTGATTTGTCCCGTCCATCCGCTTGAAATGGCCGTATTACCTTTTTCGCGAACCGTGACAAATGTATTGCATGAATGTTTTTTATTTTTTTTTTTACATTTTTTTATTGTTAAAAAATATTATTTTATAAATACAGAAAATAAATAATCCAGGCGCATTCGCCAATTTTCAATTTCAAAATCCGTCCTAAGCTAAAAAGACGCATCTCAACATTTCTACTTTTTCAATTATTGCGTTTTTTTCTTGAAATAAGTTTAATTAGCAATTTTGAACTACTGCAGAGTTGAAATGAGTCTTTCTTTCTAGAGGAATAAGTTAAACATCCTATATGAAATCCTAAGGTACCATACCCAGATAGCACAAGAGGTACCCAGGACGTCCATTTCGGGTCCCACATAGGTCCGAACGTCCTAGACCTATATCGGAAGTTTTGGGTACGTCCAGTCTCTTACTTATTTGGGAAAATTATAGCGGATATACTGGGTACGTCCCAAGGACGTAATTGAAGCATTGTATTTCCAAAGGGTCTAAGTGCCAAGTTGGTTAAATAATATATTATCATTTAAAAATAGTTTGTGTCGTGCAGAATGACTTAATAGTATATTCTGTAACAAGTTTGGAATACAGCATATCCGCTCGAGTGAAGAGTTTGTCACACGAGCCGAAGGCGAGTTTGACGGTTTCAGGAGAGCGGAATATGCAATTCCAAACGTGTTTCAGACATTTCAACATTTACATGTGCAAAATATTTGTTTTTCATTGATAACTCACAATTTTATTTTTATAACTTAGACCCCCCAGACAGCATCCAATTCAGAAAGATTTCTGTACGAAGTCTGTTGAAAAACATCTTACTGAGGTCACAATATGACATCTTAGAGAAATCATTTTTAGGAGCTCAAGATTAAGAGTTCTTGATGAATTCATAAATAAGAAGTAAATTTTTTAACATCTTAAAGTATCTTTTTTTCTGACCTCTTATTGGAATCAAAATTAGAAGCTACTAAGGGTAGGTATCATAAATAAGACTTTAGTTATATGATATCTTACAGTATTCTCTTTTCTTACTTCTTACTGAAATCATATTATTAACTCTTTAAGACGTCAACATGGAGACGTCACATTTATGACATTTTAATGCGATTCTTTCTTCTCACCGCTGTAACTGCTTGTGTTTGATATAAGAAGCGGCGAAGTAGAATTTAGAGCGTGCTTCATACCAAAGGGTCTTAGACATAGGTAAACGGCTACCCGATAGTGACGAGCTCCAAAAGAGGGAAACAGGCTGTCTATCGGTGCCGGTGAAGAGCACGCTTAAATTTAAACAAAAGTGAGACGAAGTAATCGCAATTCCTAAAATAAGCGAATACGAGCAAATTATTAAAATGATTTTAATAAAATCCATTTAACAAATTAATAAAATAAGACTTAATTAAGACGTCATATTGCTGTCTGTGCCTTTGGGAATACCACTCTTCAATTCTGTAAAGCTTGTCCATTAGTCCCCAATAAAGCATTTTAGGATGGCCAGAGGATGTTTTCTTTAGGACGTTCTGGGGACCGACGATTTGGTAACATCGGATGTCCCTGGAACGTCCTGGGGAAGGTTCAGGACCTGATTCGGACGTACTCGGAACTTACTAATGTCTGATACAAGATATACTCAGGACGTTTTTAGTACTTCTTTGTGCTATCTGGGTAAAATGTAAATTAAAAAAATAATGATATGCGTCTTTTTGGCTTTGGACGGCAGTATTTAAAAACTTTTAAAGAACAAAATAAAAAAACTGTAATTCCAAAACTCAGCTAGGTATAAGAATCTCGAGAAGAGAATGAAAAAATAAACATAAAAATTTCAAGAATCTCGAGATTTACCTATTTAAAAAATTTAGAGTGCATAAAAAATGTTAAAACTTATTTAAGCATCTCATGTCAAAGCATATTTTATAATTAATTTTTTATAATAGTTTGCAAATACACAGTACACGAGCGCTGTGTTGCCAGAGCGCCTGCCAGCTGCATAGCCACGTACGTGAAGAGCAAAAAACTGTCGCAAACGTTGCAGCACCACTGGGTCGAGGGAAACTGCCAGGGAAAGTGTGCGCGCTGTCGAAAGCCGGTCAAAGCTGGAATTACCGGCTTGCATTGCAGGTGGTGCCAAATTACGGTGAGAAAGTTCAGGATTTATTAAGGTTTTTCAGAAATAAAGCGTTTTAGGAGCTTAGACCATTTATCTGCAGATAGATAGATAATTGTCTAATTTTGAGAAATATTTTGATTAACTTTTTTGTATTTTTTAGCTTCATAATAAATGTGTCTCTCAAGTGAAAGCCGAGTGTGGTTTGGGTGAACATGCCGTCCATATTTTGCCACCCACGTCCATTTGTCCTATCGTTTTGGACCGGCAGAGGTCGCTGCAAAAGAGGGGGTCCAAGTACGGGTGTGACAATGTAAGTTTATAAATTTACAATTAAAAAATAATTAATTATTATAATTATTATTAATGCATATAATTCAAGACATTAAAATTATTATAGAACCTTTCTTTTTTGAAACCTATCTAAATTCGTCAAATATTCAGTTTTCCAAAGACCCTGTATGTTTTTTGACATTTTGTGTCCAGTTCTTAACCTAAAATTGTAAATGTTAAAAACAGTTTCTTTTAGATAAATTTTTCAGCCGTTTGATATTAAAATCATTATTTTCTGTTTTCAGGGAAGCTTTGGCAGCAATTCAAACAAACAGCCAGCTATGTCATTCCAAATAACCACCACTCCAGCTTCTGTACCCCTTTTGGTATTTATTAACCCAAAATCGGGGGGTAGACAGGGTTCGAGAATATTGCGAAAGTTCCAGTACATTTTAAACCCGCGACAAGTACATATCCTAGGAACAGGGGGCGGGCCCATGCAAGGTTTAAGTATGTTCAAAGACGTTCCCAATTTTAAAGTTGTTTGCTGTGGTGGCGATGGCACGGTCGGATGGGTGCTGGAGACGATGGGTAAGTTTTATGAATTTTATTCGTACAAAATGTATAGGTTTTACTAAAATTTTAAAAAAACTATATATATTTTTAATTTATTTTACCGCCCAAGAGCCATCTTAAATATAAAAATTATATTATTCAGACGGGGGTTATGCTCAAAATAAACAACTTGTCTCAAAAAAAAATTATATTTATTTTACTACCGTTTTTATTATAATTTTTATGTTTGCCATGGTTCTGCAGCAGTGAAAGTAATCTAAAAATATATTTTTTTTTTTCAAAGTGGACTAATTTTCCAATACTTATAATACAATAATAATAATAATTTATTTATTTGCCCAACAGAGTAATACTCCAATAACAGAGCAAAAATAATAAACAAATAATTACATAGTTTAACAGTATGAACTAAAAGTAAGATCTAGCTATAAAAATTGCATCATTCAGACTACTAAAAAATAAATCACATTCTTGATTAATAAAATTAAAATTTCTAGACATAGTAAGTACAGGTGATTTAACCAAACTTATTGTTCGCGCACTGTCACAATAAAAACAATCACTTCTTCTAGAATTGATACGCGGTACAAGAATTTTAAATTGACACAATAAGTTGGCTGAATCTATCTGATTGTTGAAAAGCTTAAACAGAAATTTAAGACCAGAACAAACCCTTCTAAACTCTAGGGAATCCATACTAAAACGTTCCAAAAGAGATTCCTGGCTAATACCTCTAGCTGGATACACATTATCCAATCGAAAAGACAGGAGTTTTAAAAACTTGCGCTGTATATTTTCAATCATATTAATAGGACTGTTATAGTATGGGTTTCATACAATTGAACAATATTCTAATTTTGACCTGACAATACAAAAATAAAGGGATTTTAAAGCAGATTCGTTAGTAAAATCGACGTATCCACGCTTAATCTGGAATATGAAACATTTATATTTTTAAAATTGATTAATTGGACTCAAAAAAAAATTTGCCTAAAAAATAATTTTTAAACCGTTTTCCACCCCCATGGCATTGGGGAGGTGGAAGAAATTTAAAAAAAAATGAAATGTTTTCACTAAAATGTTTATTTTTACCATATACAAGTATTCTATAAAGAGGCGTTTTTAATTTTAAAAATATTCATATTTCGCTCCACCCTGGCGGAATGAACCTTTCTAAAGAGCTAAACACTAAAAAATATATTAATCGCATACTAGCTTATTCCAATCCATCTGTCAGACGGTTCTAACTTTCTCGCAATTTTAAAAAACATATAGTCGCCCCTCGTATATTATAAAAATCTTGCAACTGCCATATAAAAAAATGTGGAAACCAACACATTTATAATGTTATTTAAATATTTTTCAAAATATTATTATTGTTATTTATATGCCTCGTTAAAAATAGCAAATTATTTCTTTTTGTTTTTCATTTAATCAAACATATTTTAGAATTTATTTTTGATATAATTTAAATTAAAAAATGATATAATTAAAAATAATAAAAAAATTATGTATACTTACTAAACTTAAGAATAGCCAGTTATTTTTTTTAACTAAATCCATAAAATTGGAAGAAATTGGTACTGCTCCTAATAATATGGCACACACTATGATAAAAAAACAAATCTTTAAAACAACTAGTTTTGTAAACTGCTAAAATTCTTTAAAATAACAAACTTTTCAGAAAATTAAATAACTGAAAAACTTTCTAACATTGCTTGCATGTTCTTCTCAGACAAAGTCGAACTGGAATGTCAGCCGGCGGTGGCGGTAATACCGCTGGGTACCGGAAACGACTTGGCGCGCTGCCTCCGGTGGGGCGGTGGTTACGAGGGCGAGTCGATACATAAACTTCTGCACAAAGTTGCCAGAGCATCGACGGTACAGCTTGACAGGTGGTTAATAGAACTATCCGACACTTCTCTGCCAGATCCGGACCAGAAAATCACCGATACCAGAATCCCGTACAATATTATCAACAATTATTTCAGTATTGGAGTGGTAAGAAATTTGTATATTTTTTATATTTCTTAAAAATATTAACGTAAATTGTGGTAAATATTGAACATTGATGGCACATTGCGCATTTCCAATAGTTTCTGATCAAGAGTTGTATGCAACCTACAGGCAATATATTTCCTACAATACATACCCGTCAGTTGCATGTTTACTATATGAAAAATGTTTCCGCACGAGTTGAACGCGCATATCCACTTGTTTATTTTAAACAGTTGTATGCAACCGAGGTGCAACCTACGGGCAACACATTTCCTACAATACGGTGGAGCCCGTTGTCTGCAATGTACCTTAAATGCAGAAGGAGCCGCTTTGTTATATGCCGTGAATGCACGCAGGGCCGTATCTAGGGGGGGGTTTTGTGGGTTCAAACCTCCCCCGAAAGAAAATAAAATCCCAAAATATAAATTTATATAAAAAAAGTAATACACAGTAAAAAGTTACATTTTTGTTGATAGTTTTCATATTTTTTAAATCACTTTCCATATTTAGAAGATCTAAAACTAGTAAAAGACATCGAAACTTCCTCAAAAGCTTTGCCATTTCTTTGAGCGATTATGACTAGTGAGTTTATCATCAGTATGTTAACTGCGTCCACTTTATTTGCTTTTACTCTACCTTTATGCAGAATTTTACAGTCTGTGGATTTTGATCTAATAAGTGCTGTTGAGCATGTGGATACTGTTATTAGTCAGGTAAGGAATATGAGACTTAATATAGATCAGGAATTTAGCAATATTTTTAAAAAATCTGAAACACTTATAAAGTCTGTAGATGATCAAGAGTGCATAAACATTCCAAGAATAGTTGCACGTCAGCAGAATCGTCCTAATGTCATGGTAGCCACTGCAGAAGAATATTTTCGAATTACAGTTAACTGTAATTCGAAAATATTCTTCTGCAGTGGCTACCATGACATTAGGAATTGCAATTGCAATTCCCTTTTTTGACGATTTTATCGAAGAATTGACTGAAAGATTTGCAAATCATAAAAAAACACTTTTATCATTATATTTTCTAGTGCCAACTATGTGCGTTACACACAAAGTAAAAATAGAAGACTTTTCTTTATATGAAGAATTTTTGGACTTTGATACCTTATCTGCAGAGTTAAAGTTATGGAAACAAAAATGGACTGACTTGCCTCAAGCTGGAAGACCAAAAAATGCTATTGACGCATTATCAGCATGCAATCGATCTATATTTCCTAATATACATATTCTTTTAAAAATTCTTGCTACATTACATGTATCTACAGCTTCATCGGAAAGATCATTTTCATTATTGAGACGTTTAAAAGACTATTTGCGGAATTCAACTGGTCAAGAATGTCTAACAGGTCTGGCCCTTTTAAGTATGCATAGATACCATAGATACCACAGAGGTCTTAAATCGTTTTGCGAGAGAAAAGCAGAGAAATATTCCTTTATTATTATAATTATAATTATTATTTTTTAAATTTTAAAGTTAAATGTTAAATATATTTATCTACTCCTACATTGACGAGCTGTAACTTTATGGCGTTTTATTGACGGGCTGTTAACAAGTTAACAACAGTGGCTTTTCGACATTTTACGTCACAGGCTGAAGTTAGCTTTATTATAAATTGGGAAAAAGTGAGGTTAAATTCGGGTGACAGTTGACAGATGTCAAATTTTAACAAATAAAATTGGCTTTAAATTCTGTTTTGTGTTCGTCGTAGATAAAGTATAGTACGCAACTCGTTTATTAACTTCTCTAGACACTCGTTTTTATTAAACACTCGCTCGCAAGCTTCGCTCGTGCTTAATTAAACTCGTAACTAAAATGGCGTTTATAAAACTTGAGACATAATATACTATTAACCTGTTTTTTTTTCATTAAAACCCATTTAAACATAATAGTTTTATTTTAAACCTTTAAAAATTTTTTCAAATGCCACTGGTCTAACCCCCCACGAAATTTAAGTCTAGATACGGGCCTGAATGCACGTGTGCACAATAAAATTAACAAAACTATTATAATTATGTAAGTGCGCGATAAATGCATATACCGTATTTTCATTTAAAATATTTACATGTATGAGATGTATGAGTGCACTGGAGTGAACCCAAACGCGAGGGGCGGGCCCAGATGCATTGTAAGCAGGTTTCCGTAGGCGACGATTCAGTTATGTTTTGCATTTGCTAGTTTGTATTTCGAGCGTTTTAACATAAATGAATTTCTTATAAGTTATATTGTCCTACACATTGCATTGTTTAATGCAGTTTGGGGGAAGTTTAAAAATAAACTTTGAATAAATTAATGCTTGTGTTTAAATTATAATTTATTATTTTTTTTAATTAACTAATTTAATTATTTATTTACATTGATTTTCAGTTTTGTTTTAAGAGAATTGATTTATTTATTTTAATTTGTTATTTTTTATAATTATTCTAATTATAAATTATAATTTATTATTTTTTTTAATTAACTAATTTAATTATTTATTTACATTGATTTTCAGTTTTGTTTTAAAAGAATTGATTTATTTATTTTAATTTGCTATTTTTTTATTTTAGCTTTTTAAGAGAATTTTTTATGTTTAAACGTTTTTTTAAGAACACTTTTAGTTAAATGCAAAACAAATAATGATTTTTTACACCTTTAATTAATAATTTACTGTTTAAAAGTGATTACGTTACATTTTGTATCTGAATCATTTTTAAAAGTAAATTAACTTAATAATGCGTAATTCTTATTAATAATCCAGAGCAAACTTCGACTATCACCCAACGCCGTTAAAGGGTCTACTGCTGAATTACGAAAACCGTCTCTTGGCCTCTTCCACTCTTAAAAATTATCCTCCCACTCTTAAATATTATTCTCCCACTCTTTAAAAAGGTATATATGTAAAATTAAAGTACGTTATGTGAATTGTGTTCACAGGGTGTCTCGAAAATAGTGTGCAATACTCTTCAAGCGGTTTAGGGCCAAAAATATATGAACATAGGTCAGCAAATGGCCCCTAATGAACCTACATACTCTTAAAGGGGCACCCCTGAAGATGTTTTATAATAATGAAACAGTTTGACATAAAATAATTTATTTTTGGGAAACAAGTATTTTTTTAATAATATTTCTTGTTTAATATATTAAATTAAAAAAAAAATTCATTTTGTTTAATTTGTTATTTTATTTTTATTTCAAAATGGTGCATTTTATCTATTTTCAACATAAGTAAATTTTTTACGTATAAAATACCCTGTTTAATACACTCATAAATAAAAAATTGTTATTTTTAAATTCAGCATAAAAAGTTAAGCAAGCACACACAATTTGAAAATAATAAATAGTTTTACAAGTGTTGAAAAGCGACTTTTTCATGGGACACTCAGTGCTCACGAGACCGTTAGGTCGAGTGTGCATTAACACGAGCTTAAAAAAAGCTTTTCCCACAAGTGAAATACAATGTTTTTTCTATGATAAGGTGACCAACTTTCTAAAATGAAAAACCAAGACACAACATGCCCCTCCTCGACCTTCCAAAAAATAAACAAAATTTATTTTATTTAATGTTTATTATTAAAAAAAAAGATGTGCTAAAGACGTCAATGATAAAAAATTATTCTAAAGGTAGTGCCAAAAATTCAGATTTTTAAATTAATTTTTATTCTGAGCCCCGACCACTTTTAATAAAACAATTGGAACAAATCCTAAAATAGTGGGAAAAAGTCATAATTTGTTATATTTTTTTTAAACGAGGTTTTTTCTTACTTTTTACTCTTCTAAATGTACTTCCAAAGTTTTAGATTTTTAAATTAATTTTAACTTGAGCCCCGACCACTTAAAAAAAATTAGAACAAATCCTAAGGAAGTGGGAAAAACATAATTTTTTATAATTCTTTTTTCAAAACGAGTTTTTTTCTTACTTTTTTATTCTTCTAAATGTACTTCCAAAGTTTTAGATTTTTAAATTAATTTATAAACTGACCCCGACCACTTAAAAAAAATTAGAACAAATCCTAAAAAATGGAAAAAACTCATAATTAAAAAAAAATCCTGAAGGTACTCCTAAAAATTCAGATTTGTAAACTAATGTTTAACCTAAACACAGACCAAAAATAATAGAACAAATCCTAAAAAAGTGAGAAAAAGTCAAACAAAGTTTTTTACTCTTCTTAATGTACAATGAAAAGATTCATTTTCTAAGCAACGATGTCATTACGAAATGTGACTTTTACATAGTGGTCGTAGAAAAAACTATTTCAGGGGCGCCTCTTTAAGAGGCTGTAGCTTCCATTTGCCGACTTATCTTTATAAGAAGATTCCTTTCCATTTTGTCTTTAGAAACCACGTGTAGAGTACCTATTGCACACTATTTTCGAGTTACCCTGTTTATTTATAAATAAATAATTAAATTTTATATTTCTTTTAATAAAATTACGTTTGCACCTTATGAAAATTACATCTTTTAACCCCCTTGTACAAATAACAATATACTCTATTGAATAGACTCAGAATTTCTGAAGTGGGCCCGCGATTTTTCATGTAATCACAAAAATTAAAAAAAAAGCCATACAACAAAGTTCTCTAATTTCGAATAGGTAAATGATTTTCTGTGTTGCGCACAATAAGTATATGCAAAAGATTTCTCGTCAGTTGCCCGTGGGTTGCACACAATACGTTGTCAGAAAACGTTTAGACAGTAAAATGGTGGCACCCACTTAAAAGCAAACAGCTACCAAACCAAAAGAACGAATAGTAGGCAAACGGACGGAAACTGGCTATCCCGGTAACAAATAATAATTCCGGTGAATTCGCCATTTTTGTAACTGCATAGTAAAATTTAATATAAAACACAATAAACAATATTTTTAAGGGTTTTTGTAATTGTAATTTTTAGGATGCTGCAATTTGCGTTAAATTTCATCTCGAAAGGGAAAAGAATCCGGAAAAATTCAACAGTCGGATGAAAAATAAGTTGTGGTATTTTGAATATGCGACTTCAGAGCAATTTTCTGCTTCTTGCAAAAATTTACACGAATTTATTGAAATTGAGGTAAGTAATAAAACTGTTTTTGCGCTTTATATTTAAATGATTTAAATAAAATTTTCTGTAGTTCAAAGTTCAAAAATTAAAAAAATACATATGCGCTTAGACCACAGAGCGTGAAACTTTTTTTAGACACTCATAGTTTTGTTTTTATTTAATTAATAATGATTATGTATGCTATATTTACGTTTCCTTGAAGAATTCAACATTTTTAATGCTAATAATTTTATTTATCCATATTCTTTTTAGTTACATCAGAAATTGTGGTTTTCAGATTTGAAATTTTTTTAGGCTTAAAATTTTAAAATTCCAAACAATTTTGAAAATTCTAAAAAATTGTCCTACAATTATTTATATTTATACTGCTGTGCAAATTTTTGCCACTATTTTTTAATTTTGAACTACTGTGGGAGTTTCTTCTATTTTTTTTTACTTTTGAACTACTGTGCGAATTCGTCCTACCTTTTTTTAAATTTACGCTACGAATTTTGTTTGAATATTCTAATAACGTTTCCGTTTCAACTTTCGCAACGGAAGTAAAGAAGTTTTAAAAATAGTTTAAATTTAAGCCCATGAGAATATTATATTTTTAAATAAACAAATACTTTTTTTCATAGTGCGATGACGTGAGCTTGGACCTTGCAAACGGGTCCCCCCTTCAAGGTATCGCTCTCCTGAATATCCCTTACACCCACGGGGGCTCAAATCTGTGGGGCGAACACTTATCGGGAGTGCGCAGACGCAGCCGCAAGAAGAAAAAACAAAAAGACATCAGCACCAGCAGCTTTAACTCCGTCGACCTCAGCGTGGCGGTGCAAGGTAAGTAACCAAACGACCTCTACGCTATGCACCATGGTGCACAATTATAAAGGTAGTTTTTTTGGTGCAAGCTAAAATACCTTTTTTTATATTTTTTAGATATCGGTGACGGACTTATCGAGGTAATCGGTTTGGAAAATTGCCTGCACATGGGACAGGTTAGGACGGGTTTAAGGGCGAGCGGAAGAAGATTGGCGCAATGTTCTTCGATTGTTATCAAAACGAAGAAAACCTTTCCTATGCAGATTGACGGGGAACCGTGGATGCAACCACCAACAACAGTAAGTAAAAAAAAAGTTACAAGAAAACTTTTTCCACTAGGTACTATTGCGCCCGAAAAAAAGTAATCCACTTTTCCGTTATAAATATGCTTCTCACCAGTGGTAATATTGTCAAATAAAGTAAAGTAATATTTTTACTAAATTTATAACTTACTTAACTATGCCTTAATATATCTTAAGTAAAAAAGAAAAAGGCTGTATTATAGCCAAAATTTTAAAACGATGGTCTAAAACGCATGGCAGATCATTTACTGCAGCAAAGGCGCGATTCAAAAATAAAACAAAAAAATTGGTAAAACGGTTCCATTCCAACCAAAGAGAAAACCAACTTCCAAGCATCCGAGACCAAGGTATGTTTATGCGAAAGGGCTGGCAGATGTTAATAAAGAGGCAGGTGTAGTGTTTTCGAATAATTTTTTGAATAAAAACGCTCAATATTGGGAGCGGGTGGTCTTTTACGATAAACAAATATTTCAGTCCTGTTACAATGGGCCACTGCGAGTTTATAGTCCCAGGAATCATAAGTTTAATGAAGAATACCTGCAAAAAACTGACAACAGCGAAAGATATTCTGTCCAGGTGTTGGCGAGGATATCTTCAGCAGGGGCTGGTGGATGCATGCCGTAAAGGACCGATTGAATGCATGGTAACCGATAAGTGGATATTTTAAACAATTTAATTCTCTCATCAGTTCAAAAAAGATTTAATGACGATTTTATATACCTATCAACACGTGTTGGCAAAGGCAGGAACAAAACCTCCATGGGCAAAGGTATATCAAAAGGTGTTGCATACGCTCATGTGGCTCGTAATTGGTTTAAAGAAAATTACGTATCAACGCTTCCTTGGTCGTCAAGGAGCCCTGATTTAAACCAATCAAAAATATTAATCATTATATTACAAATATAAATTTAGACCAAGAAATAGAGAGGAGCTAATTAATGTCATTTAAAATGAGTGGAACACTTTGGAAAAAATATTACAAGTTTAAAAAAATTACATATGACGTGATTATTTCTTGTCAAAATAATTTAAATGACATGACTGACAGAAAAATCCCTATTTACAACAGTCAATTTAAAAAAACATGCTAAAAATTGATTAATTTTTCGGCCACAATAGTACCATAACAATAAGGTATCCAGAGTAAAAGGTTGTCTGTTTAGTTTAGTCCAGTCAAACCGTCGTTTGACCTTGTGGGACGAGGCACTGTCTGTTTTTTGTTTATGAATTGATAGGGTCTTATTTGAAAAGCATAAAACCAAAAATATGCACCACCTGACATTTTTTTTTACAAAGATATACGCAAAAATACATTTTTTCAGTTTTTAGTGAACATCTTGGCAAATTATTTTGTATAAAACTTCCTATAGTTTTTGTCTAAATTGTGTTTGTTTATACAAGTAAGTAAGAAAATATAGTTTGTTAAATTAAAAATTTTGTTTTGTTTTTTGTTTTTTTTTTCACTTTTTGCAAATATTTTAAAACTGCATTTTACGGTAAATTATTAAGATAAACATTTTGTAGCCCTATTAATTTTTGAATATATAAAAAATTGAATTAAGTATGACTAACCAAAGGCGAGCAATCCACGAGCTTTTGAACATATTTTCCTGGCTTTGCAAACTACAAAACACTTTAAACCGGATTTTCAAAAGCTGCTTGCTGTGCTGTCGTGCTTTGATTTGTACACCAGCACGAAATAATGTCGACCAGTGATGATGTCTGTCCTGAGATTTTCTCCAGCTATGCCTTAATCTGATAAATGTTCGAAAATAATAATGGTCAGCCGGTGATTGTGTGGGTAGCAAATTAGCGATTGGATTTAATTTTTACCATTCGTGTACGAGAACAGTTCAAGTCGGAAATGATTTAGCGTTGTTTTATTGATTTTTTCTCCGCATAGGGCAATGAAAATGTTTTCCCATTAGGGTTGTAACCTTTTGAAACCGTTACAGCTTTTCAAATCAAAGAAACCTGGCTACAACAATATAGCTTTATTAGGATGAAAGTAACAAAAAATATCTAGATTATTTTTTATTGAATCGGCGTCTGAACACCATTATTTTTGAACATTTCATCCGGTGCAGGCATGATTGGCTAATGTTTTAAATCCAAAATAGAGGGGCTGTAAGCAGGGGCGCCGAAAGGCCTGTTGTGTGTGTTTAGAGCTCAACACACGTGAAAATTCTATGTGGGGAATTCAACACATGGACAAGTGGATTTTTTAAGCACATGGGAAATTTTAATTTTTTATTTATGTTGACAATGATACTAGAAATTTTTCACAAGATAGAAAACCTCAATCAAGATTTGCAAAATTCTTAACTAAATGTTATTGACTCTTTTAAAAAAGTTAATGTGTTTTGGCGCTATGAATCATTCAATTCATTTCAGTTGAATTCCTATTGGTAATTTCCAATGAAGTTAGTGGCTTGGATTGGAAAATACCAATCCATGCCTATGCTTGTCTCTATTGGCTAAATCCAATAGAAATGCACATTGAATGAATTGGTAATTCATAGCGCCAAACCCATTCCAACCAATTAAAACCAATTAATATTTTTAAATTTGGATTAGAAAATACCCACCAGTTTATTTTTCATTCAAAAATAATTTTAGATCCCAGAAGGATAACCGGGTAAAAACCAGAATTCTTTTTTCACCGAAGAGACAAAAAATTTATTGTTACTGAGTAATTTTATTTCTTTATTATTTTTTTTGTGATATACATATGTATGTATTGATACATATAACTTACTATCACAAAAAAAGTAATAAAATGACTCATATTATCAATTTTTGTCTTTCTTGCAAAGGGCATGGTCGAAGTCGATATTGTTTATGTCAATTTTTTTTATTTTGTCCGCTGTGACAACCATTCTTACGCCATCGTCCCTAAACCTTACACATATAAACATTTTAAGATATAAGTACACTACTAACACTAGGGACTTAACACATAAATCGGCTAATAAAAAAACCGCTAATAAATGGCGTCCAAAGACTTGTTGTTTTTTCTTTATGATGGCGTCTCAACCTCGTTGATTTTGCGCAGCTACACGAGAGCCCTCTTGCGATATTTGTATTGTATTGGGAATAACCAATTAGCAGATTTTTTCCAATCTTACACTGGGAATGCCCAATTGAATTCAATTGGAAATTACCTATAGGTAGCTTTATCCAATCGAAACCGCTAAAAAACAGTAGAATCCTAATTGGATTTTTCCCTATTTTAAAGTATTGGGAATAACCAATTAGCAGATTTCTTTTTCGAATATTACACTGGAAATGCCCAATTGAATTTAATTGGAAATTACCTACATACAATAGGGAAGATACAGCGAATCTGAAAAAGGGCCAGACCTACCACACGACACTTCCACTAAAAAAGTTAGTCAAATGATCATAATCAGAAGAAATAAATATATTGTGACGTGAATAAGACCTACAGCCTGTAGGATACAGGAAATACCGCAATAAAAAAAATAAGCCTGAGACTCTTCCTATAAAGTAGCGAGATAAAGCGTTCTTGTCGGCTCTCGTTAGTAGTCCTAGCTCTATTTTTTTTTTGAAATTTTAGAATATTAAAAGAGGTACAAAATGTTAATCATAATAATTTATCCTAAAATATACCGTTTGCGAAAACCTTGCAAAAAAGTAAAAAAAATAAGATAAAAACAAATTTTGTATTTTAAGTATATTTTTTTACTGTTTTGTTTAAACAAAAAATACTTCAGACAAAAACTATTAGAAATTAAAAAAAATACTTTTGCTATTTTACTTTTTATTGTGCAATACTTATACGGTGGCCGAAATATTCGATAAAAACTAAAAAAAATATTTTTACGTGTATCCTTGTAAGAAAAAATGGTCAGGTGCAAATTTGTTTTTCAAATTGATTTATAAAAATAAAAAACAGACAGTGTCTGGGCACGCAAGGTCGGGCAATTTCTCACCACGGTTTGACTGGGCTAGTAACAATACCTCCTATATCGCTAGGCACTTTGACGCCTATCCTACAGTAGACTAAAAGTTTGCTGTAACTTTTTTGGTGTTTATTTAAGTTTTTTGTTTTTAGATACGTATCACACACAAAAACCAAGTGCCAATGCTTATGGCACCGCCACCGGAAAAAGGCAAAGGTTTCTTCCGTTTCTTCAAAAGGTAAAAATAAACTCGTTAAGTTTATACTTGAAAAGTGATATTATTAATTCTGTGGATTCCATAAAACTCTAGTCTTTGTTAATTTTTTTTCTTATGGTTATTACTATTAATATAATTTTGTTTTCTCTAAAGCGACAATAATGCGTTTTATCGTTACTACTGTAGTGTTATTGTTTTGTAAACATAATTTTTATTTCACTGAAATTTGAATATATTTATCAGTATTATTTGTGTAATAAATGTAAAAATTACGTATATTTCTTCCAAGAACTATTTACAGCTATTCATTTGTTGAGAATTAGCAACTTTACAATAAATTAATTAACTTATTAATAATTAAAAAACATGAGAATATAATATATTATATCTAGAAAATCATAGGGACCATATTGCTTGAACAGACTCCCGCCAAAAAGTACCTATGCGTTATTTATTGTAGAAAAAATAGGAAAACCTTTGTAAGTAAAAAAATTAAACTTAATAACTTTACCCATACCGTGGAGGCTTAGACGATAATTATCTTAAGAAACATAATTTGTGTCAATAGTTTTAATATTTGAATCTCTTAAATTTATATTTGTACATTATTCTTAGTATGTGACAGATTCATTCATTATTTGGACCTTGTTTTACAAAAATGCATTTATTTTCTGATTTTTGTCAATATTTACTTCCTATTTATTACTTAATATGTTATTTTGTATAAATATACTTTTTTATGTAGATTACATTTTTTAGTGAATAAGTAGTTAATTTTTTCATGCTAATAAGGAGTATAAATTAGTAAAATTAAAATATAGTATTATTTTATTTTTATATATGGTTAATTTAAAAACTAATACCTAGTAGCTGTCTATTGTACAAATTAACTGTAGTTTACTACAGTAACCTAAAAATGTACCGTTGTATTAAACAGCGCTCTGTATAAACTATGTTTAAGCAAACTACTATAAAACATTAATGGGGGGAAGTTAAATTGTTTTAATTTATGGTTTTAACGTATGTATAATGTTATTATAAACATTTCTGTCAGAAATTTAATTGCATTATTAAGATTATGGAGCCTACACAATGAGCTCGAACTTAATAGGGGAGATTGACAAAATCTGCTCTCTAAATAGCACAAATTAAGTATTTTTTTTCACCACCAGCGGCGTTGATTTTTTATGCGTATCGACGTCTGCTGTTTTGGTAGCGTTTCGGTACAAATAAAACGGTTCTACATAAACCATTAGGCAACTTAATTATAAAGACACTTCATTCGTTAGAAAATGCAGTTATCAAAAAGCACCTTGGTTGACAAAATCAACCTTTTTGATTAAAAAAAAACAATTTTTTCTTCACAATCTTCCCATTTTCTCAGGATCTACTAGATGGAATTGATTTTTTTTGTTGGAAAGGAGTATCCCCTTTTGATGGATGAGACGGTCTTGGTCGATTATGTTGGGTATTAAAGCACAGACTCGAAATACTTTTTTCATAACCCGCTACATCGATACCCAACATAATAGTCCTAAACCCCCTCGTCAATCGAACAAGCAGCATAACCAACTAGCATAAAAGTAGCCATATCAATAAGGTGACCAACTTTCTAAAATGAAAAACCAGGACACAACATGCCCCTCCATTTTTTTAATTAATGTTTATTATTTAAAACAAAAGTAAAAAACCAGAACCTGGGTAAACCAGGACGGTTGGTCACCTTACGTAACAAGGACCGAAACTTCATCGGAGACGTCGTTACGTAGTTTCTACCAATTTGCTTACTTTATAGTTAAAAATAATATGTTCTATATTTTGTGGTCATAAGCACCTAATTTTCATTACCAGCTGAAATACCACTTTATTGGTAGCCGAATGAGACTATGGATTATGATTCATAATCCATAGTCTCAGGCGGCTACCAATAAAGTGAAACTAAAAAGTAATTTGGTTTCACTGAATGTCTCCAAAGTAATAAATTTTTAGTTAAACCTACTTTAAAGTTGTTTATTGTGAAATCGGCCATTTGAATCCTCTAGTATCAAAACCCCTTAAATCCGTTTTGATAAAAATGAGATACATGCATTAAAATATTCCTACCTATCAATGTGTGCATAGAAATGGTTGCAAAAGCCATAAAATTTTTATAAAAAAAACATTAATATATACATTTCGCCACGGGTGGCGCAGTGGGTTAGGCGACTATGCCGAGACAAACTGCGTCCGAAGGGTCGGGTTCGATCCCCGGTCACAGCCTTGGGTGTTGTGCGCGTTAAAAGTCGGGGACCGTGGTTCGGATTCCACGTTAAACAGTAGGTCCCGCTGAAGAACCGAACCTTATAGGCTTGCCTGTAAGCTGGATAGGTTACAGCGTTACTACTCTACTTTTATATACATTTCGTGGCTTTTTCAACCATTTGAATGCACAAATTGATAGGTAGGTTTTTTAATGCATGGTTCTCATTTTTCATCAAAACGGATTTAAGGGGTTTTGATAATAGGGGATTCATTTGTATTCTTAGATTAACATGTTAATTAATTAATTTTAATCCCCTTATTCGTTACGCGTAACGTATTAAGGGATTTATGCTGGATTTATACAGCACACATTAACATTAAGTTAACATTAAGCTAATGTAAGGTTGGTATTTTATGCAGCAAAAATTAAGCATGCGTATAAGTTAAAGTAATTTTGACATCTGACATTTTTGGTTTGTTTGAATTTTGTTTTAACCCCGTTTTAGCATCTGTTAGGTAAAATGAATGAAAACTATAAACTGCACATCAAACAATAATCCAAAGAACACAATCATTGAACAAAAAATGAATCATTCCGCAGTAAGTTTCATTTTATTTTCGGGTATGTTGGCATTACTGACACGGTTTATTTAAAAATTGGGCCGCAACCTGCGCAAGAGCAATAAAAATTAACATTATCATTAAGAAGATAAAAGTTGTCGATCTCTTAATGTTAAAGTTAATGTGTTGCATAAAAGCAGGGTGGAAGAAGGAGGTGATACATCTCTATCCCATAACGCGGCCAAATAACTCAGTGTTTGTTTAAAGTCTCAATAGATGGCGCATTGACGTGGAACCTGTTCCCATTTTTAGTAAAATTGCATAGATTAACTTCAAAGAATAGACCACTAAGCTTAATTAAAATTGAAATAAAACCATTTTAAAGTCACTTTTGTGCGTTTGTGGCGACTGTGCATTTTGGCAGAACAGTAGGCAATACGACGTGGCGATGGAGCAAAGTTCTTTTGTCAGCTGGGTGCTTTGCGCAAGCTTATGTTCTGCGATCTGCGAAAATTGTAGACCCGGCTTAAGGTTCTGGGTTGACTCGCCATCCCAAGCAACATTTTTGGTTCCAAAAACCATTGCCAAAGTGGTGATAACTTTAAATTAGTTAATTATACTAAACAGCTACTTTAATTTTTACTTAAAAGTAACTCTAACTTTTAAATAGCAATATTTTGTAACAGAAACTTAATTTTTCCTTAAATGGTTACTATAAAGTAATAAACATTTAAGTAAAACTTGGTTGCCCCCAAGAAGACTTTGCAACTTTAAAAAAGGTGTTATAAGTAAAAAAAACTTTATAGTAAATTTAATTTGTAGCAGTTACTTTCGGTTGCTACCTAAAGATTACATTATAATTATTTTTACTTTGTAGTCCCTTTGCAAGTTAAAATCTCGAAACTGGAACATGAGTTAAAAACTACAAAGTTAATAACTTAAAAGTTATTATTTTAGTATTTGGAACGTTTATGGTACTAACCAAAACAACCGTAAAGTGGAAAAAACTTTAAAGTAGCGAAAACTACTTCAAAGGAAAATGCTTCTTATCGGCCATTTTTTACTGTACAGTACCACGTGGTAATGTAAATAATAAATTATTTTAATTGTTTGTAAATGGTTGTTTACTTTTTAATAAATAGTAATTTTGTTGGTAATAGACGGTATTAATAATTAAATCAAAAAATTAATAATAAATAGATTTTTTTATTTATAAACATTATTAAATAAATAATTTGTTTATACTTAAATATTGATGAAGCGCATTTATTTTACAAAAACTAAATTCATAAGTTCAATAGTAAAATTTAAAGGGTTTATAAATTTACCTGCCTTATTAAACATTATATTGTTATTCTGGAAGTTATAAACTACCAGTACATATTTAATAAACGACGACATTGAAAAGCCAAGTCCGTAGTGGTTCCATTTAAAAAAGGAGGGATAGTATAAGCTAATATAAGTTTGACAAAGACAGTTAATATAGAAGTAAAAACAAATAAATAAAAGTAATTATAACGCTTTAGCAACGATATTGGAACGTTCTAGTAACGTTGCAGCTACGTTCCAAATAGTAGCAGGGTTTATAGCTAGTGACCTATTTGCTACCTTTTTGGAACTCAATAATTGTTCCCCACTTTAGTCGTAACTTAGTAATGAAAGAGTAATATAAAGAGACCGGCGACTGTCGCAAAACACTTTAAAGTTTCTTCAATAGTCCCATATACGTAACAAATACTTAAATTGTTGCTTGGGATCTAACGAACAACGAACGAAATACTGAGTTATCTGGACGCTTGCTTCTGAGATAGGAGCTATATCACCTTCTTCTTCCATCCTGCATAAAAGCTTCCAATGTATTACTTACTAACTCGCGTTCACCTCAGTATGATAAATGTTACAATGTCTGTGTACTTTTCGTCACTCAGTTTTACTAAGGTAATGCATTTATTTTCGATATTAATTAATAATGGCTGAAAAAAATAGTTTGACACAGGGGCACAGTTTTTGGAAACCTACTCGGGTGACTTGTTCGTAAACTTACGTAAGTTCAAAGTACCAAAACTAAAAAAATATGCTTCCCTGTAAATATGGTTATCACATATAAAAACATAATTTATTTAATTTTCATTTATTATCATATTTGACAGTAACTTGCATTTATTTGTGTTTTACCCCTCAGACCATCGCAAATTTAGCGAAGGACAGCATGAACTTAAATGTAGAATAAAACGTAATGCGTGATGCTAGAAAGAAATAGCAATAGATACAGTTCGCAAAGAGTAGGAGAGTGGTGGAGTTTCTTTAAAGTTGCAGGAACTTCAACATAATGGAAACGTAGCCGCCGTGGTTTCTGGAACGTCGCGGCAACGTGACCTAAACAGGAAAATCATTCCCCATTTAGGGTCCGCTTACTAAATCACGTTCCAACTACGTGCCTGTAGTTGGTAATCACCACTTTTGAAGTAGCTATTGTGGCAAACACTTTAGTTGGGAGTTGGGTAGTGCCTACAATATTACAAAAAATCATTAAATTCAATTCTATTAAAAAAGGGTGGTTTTGTCTTACCAGCGCAAGCATGAGAAATGCATCAATCAACGAATCCATATTTAATGAATCCGTATTTAATGAAGTGTCTTAATTATATTATATAGTAAACTAGGTAGGTACTATTCGTTAAAGGTACGGATTCGTTGATGCGACTCGCGGCTGCGGCCTGCGGCTGCGATCGTAGCCGCTCCACTGCTTAGTACAATTTGTTTGTATATGTTTTGGTTGACGCGTTTAGTCGCAGACTGCGACTGAACGCGCCAACTAAAACATATGCACACAAATTGTACTAAGCAGTGGCGCGGCTAAGGTCGCAGCCGCAAGCCGCAGCCGCGAGTCGCATCAACGAAACTGTACCTTAATACATTAAATTTTGTTTTGCGATTACAATTCGACAGAAATATTTTATATTCTAAAATGGATAAATTAAAATCATAAAAGTATATGTTAAAATTAACTACCTACGCCATAATGACAGTCAACATAATTTTTTTGGGTCTGATGTGTATTTTTTGTTATTTGTTAAAATCTTTTAATATAAAAAAGCTCGAATCAATGAGCCCAGACACGAGTTTTTTTTCTTAAATCTTTACGACCTAAACTTAAAAAAAATTGTTGACAAGTGTTTGTTTTTTCTCTGAAGAAATTAATTAGTTAACAGTTTGGCTGTTGATATTGCTAAGTAAATATTATTATATTACAAAAAGTATAGAGTATACACCTATTGTGTTTTATTTTGTTGTTTTTTATATTTAATGGTTTTCTACATTTTAATATTAATTTATGCGCGGAAACAGTAACAAGTTGACCGCTTTTACCTTGATGTCCAGGTGACTAGAGGAAAGGGTTATCTGTTAAAAAATTATATAACATAAATATTTAAAATGTGGAAAATTACCATTCGTTATATCAGAGATAGAACTGCCACTAAATGGAATTACGTGGACGTTTTAACTTGCTGTTAAGCTTTAACTGTAATATAAACCACCCTGTATATTTTAGATTGTAAATATAAGTAAATGCCTTGTTAATAAATTCCAGCTTTAAACGTCCAAATTTTTGAGAATAAGTGTAGGGCTCAAATTTTTGCTTATTTTTAGGCCCTACTTTTTGCCTATATTTTGTAGAAATTGCTTGTGAAATGCTTAGACTATGTCAAAAAATTTTCGTAGTATTCAAGTTACTCTATAATCCAATGTCTAAATTTTCATTATTAAAATAAAACTTTTACTAAAAATGATGAACTAAATTACTGTGATAACAAAGAGTAATTTGAATGTATATCAGAAGAAATTAAGCATTATTTTCTGTCCAAAAATCATCTGTTTTTAAATGTAATAAGATTATGGATCACTAAACCAATTTGTTTACTTATTATACATTTGTTTTTGATTAATAATACTTACATAAGTATAATATTTTCAAGAGGTTATTTTGACTTTTTCTGTATCAAACAATTTAATCCTTTGCTGCATTTTTCTTGTTTTCATTTTACTAAACAATTGTAGGCCATTAGAATTAAAGGAATTATTTTAGAGAGAGCTCTTCTATATTTATTTTTCAAATTTACTGAGCTTTTTTAAAATAACAATTCTTAAAGTGATTCATTTGGCCTTATAAAAAAGCTGTTTTTCTTTGTATATAGTAATTTATTTATGAATGATTTGTTGTATACCTATTTATGAATAAATAAATTTTATGTCCAGTTTGTTTATTTAATGGTTTATAAAAATATAGTATAAGTAAGTATATCTTATAATTACAATATAAAAATTTATTCAGATAAAATTACTGTACGTAGGGAATCATCAGGGCAAATTTCTAGTACAGCCACTGTGCCATCGTTAAAAGAAAATGAAACTCCCCCATCTATTACGAGAGAAGCTTCATAACAAAATGATCGGACTTCTATCCTTGTTGCAAAACCTCTTGATTGAATTCCTTTGGGTTGGGGCCAAACTCCCGCAGATACCAAATCCCTGATTGTATAACCCAATCTTTTATCATCTAAAAAAAGATATTACCAAAGATCAGCAGGTTTTTAATTAATTAAAAAAATGGAAGGAATTCAAAATGCCTTATGGGTATCCACATATTGAATACTCTAATTATACATTAATATTACTAATCGTCACCCTAATATAACAAGGTTGTATGTTAAACAACCGAAAAATTTGAGTTTATGCTTCTACGAGGTTTTATGTAATCCACCCTTGACATACAACTTGAAAATAACTCTATATTAGGGTGTCCCTTATTTTTATTTTTTTAACGCATACCCTCTAATTATATTTATTACTTGTTTATATACTCCCAGTAAAAATTTCAGCTCATTCTATAAACGGGAACCATGCCGACTTGCATCTGAACCCTCCGTTAGCCAACGTTAGGCGCGCGGTATTTTGTAACACGAAACACTTTAAAAAGAAGATATACTTCATGACTGTATTTTTCTAATGATTTTATTAAATATGATTACTAATTAATATTATTGCTTTTGTTTCTATCATTTGTTTCACTAATTTAGTTAATTTTATCCCTTAAATATATTAATATAATTAGTATTGCTAAAATATACTGTTATATGAAATTTCAGCTTTTTATAAGCATTTCTTTTCTTGATGTCCTCCCAAAAATATTTCACAGTTCAATAAGTTTTCGGTAGTCATCTCTCACAATAGACTCTTTTAGTTATTTAGAGTAAAACCCATTAAGTTTATCAATTTCAGAGTTTACGGCCTATTCACCAGACCCTTCCGTGTAACTAGCCACTCTCTGTGAAAATATACATTTTTATTAAAGTATACACATAAATAAAACTATATTTTAACATTTGTCAATAATTTATAATATAAGGGTCACATAATAACAAACACAAAATGACTTACGATCGAAGACCTCGCGACCAACCGTGTTACAAAATACCGCGCGCCTAACGTTGGCTAACGGAGGGTTCATATGCAAGTCGGCACGGGTTCCCCTTTATAGAATGAGCTGAAATTTTTACTGGGAGTATATAAACACGTAATAAATATAATTAGAGGGTATGCGTAAAAAAAATAAAAATAAGGGACACCCTACTCTATATATATATATGTATACATAGAATATACATTCAATAGAATTATTTTTTAGTGGTATTTAAAGCGTAGGCCACGTATAATCCTGTAGAAACAGACTTAAATTTTTCGTTTTTTTTAACATACAACCTTGTTATATTAGGGTGACGTAATATAGTACATATTAAATATGTATATCCATGTTTTATGTACTCTAAGGTACAGCATAAATAAATGGATGTAACCATAGAGAAAGAAAAAGAGAGTAATCAAATGCATTGTTACAAACTTACAAAATTCTGTCAAAAATAAGCGAATAAATGCATTGTAGTAGTGTTTAAAGCATAGATTTTTAGGATGAAATTTGAGGGTTTTGAGCCACAGGACATTTTTTATAAAAAAACTCACCTGGGTTGAAAATGAGGTTTTTGTTGTAAATATCCGACAAAGTAGCTGCCAAATTGTCTTTATTTTCTGTAGTTTCAACATCTATAAGCCTTAATAATTCGGCTACTGTTTGAGTTGGTAGCCGATTTATGCTTAGATGCCAAGACGTAGAACCTGTTCCTGTACTTACACACAACCCAGAACACTTAAGATTTGTTGTGTTTATATTATTATTTAACCTCATATGTAAGTGTGACACTCTGGCTGATAGAGTTTCACCAATAAAAACCTTAAAATTTCAATTACTTGAGTAACAATTATAATTATTATATATAATTAATAATTAAGCGTCCTAAAAATGACCAACTCCAACTAACGCCAACTACACAATAGGGGACTCCCCAAGGGAAATTATAATAAATAGTATAAAATCGTTACCTCATTTAGGGCTAAAACGGGTAAAACTTTGTAAGATCCTTCACCAAAAAATCTGCTACATTCTTCAATTGTAATAGATTCATTTTCGATTTCATGTAAATATTTGGGCGTTAAAATTTCATCCTTATTTAACATTGTTGTCCTTATCCTGTTTCTCATAAGCCATTTAAAGTTGCCCTTTAATAAAAAAAACAAATATTTATTTATTAGTTCAATTTACACAATTTAAAGCTGGTAGATAATGATATAGAGTAGACCAAGTCTAAAGTGACCATTCGTCCCGGATTTTGCGGGAGAGTCCCGGATTTTATCAACATGTCCCGCAAGAGTAAACGTCCCGGAAACGTCCCGGATTTTGTGTTTAATCAGACAAAATAATAAATATGACAAAAATAAAATAGAGTTACAAATTCGTACACAAAATAAAAAAACGGTTTCGGTCGATCACGTCACTTTGTCATTGGTATTATTTAATTAAAACGACGTATGAAATGTTCCCTTTTATAATATTAAAATAATTATAGAATTATGCTTGTGACTACCAGGAACTAATGCTCCCACCGAACGGGTATTTTCTGGAAAAAATAAAATGTGGACCTCAAAAAAACGCAACTGTCCGTGGAATTAAATTAATTAAAATGTATGCTGTTTGTAAAATATAATTTACAGTATTCTTTTTGTAAAGAATTTTATAATTCTGTAAAGATAAATGATGGCCTTCTGCGGAAAATTCATTCGGCAGAAAAGTATATTAAAGTTATATATTTGTAAAAAAATAAATGTGTTTGGAAACGAGTACCTAATTTTCAAATACCCCCATACAATTGTTCGAAATTTATTTTTTAAAATATATTTATATATAAAATTCTGCATTTTTGAATGATGTGCATATTATATTATATAAATAATAAATTATGTAAACAATTTTTTGTTTTCTCGACCTCCACTTTCCATTTCCCCCCTTCCCCCTTTTCCTCAAAATTATTTTAGCCTTCTTATCGGCAAAATGCGCCTGCCGCGGACTTTTCCGCTTTTGGTGTATTTTTTGGCTTTGTCCCGGATTTTGAGATTTTTAATATGGTCACTTTAACCAAGTCATACAGTGGGGTTTTAAATGTTAGGGTGAGTATTCAGTATAATTAAACTCCAGAAAATAGGGTTAAACATGGCTTTCTTTCTAAGCCATCAAAGTTGTTAATACCAGTTCAGATACAGCAGTCCCGTTGCGGAAATTTTTATAGCGATGAAAATAAATATCCGGAATTATTCAGAGAGGTTGTATTTGGTTATTGTAAAATAAAAGACAAAGAAAACTATTTTTTAACATTTTGCGTTTTTATAAGCCAAGTTTATTGCAGTTCATCACAATAACACAGGTAGGTACGTCTCACTTGTTGAATACATAATTACCTATATAATAATTATTAATATTAATATTGTAACATTTTTATCGGTTCGTAGTGTGAATAAAAACACGCACTGGTTTATTAACAAACTAAACGATTTATTTAGTCACGCAAGCGCCTTCTCGAACATTCCAGCAAGCTCCGGTGTGCTCTCGATCGCTCTAGCGCTGACTCACCGGCGATGAATCATCATTACGAGATCCAGAGCGGTACTCGCTACAATATGTAAGGTGTACTAAATATACCAATTATAATTTTTTACATACGATGCGCTTGACTTGTTTTTATTGTTGCCACTGTACATTTTCATACGCAAATAATAATATGACTATTGTTTCAAACAATTTTTCTAAAAACGCGTACTTCTAGACGCAATATCAATTTTTTCAGCTGACCAATTATATCACAGCTGTGATCGCATCTTCCCGCGGTTTCTAGATAGCTCTAGGTCAGTACGTACTCTGTACTCACCACAAAAAGAGTCACTTCTACTCCTTATGTCATAATATACTATAGTTTACTGAGTGTGAGTAAACATTTCGAACAATAACGCAATTATGGGAAAATAACCCTCAATATAAATGTTGATAAAAGAAAACGTAAGCAATGTTTAAAGTGTTATGAAAATGTTTTGACAAAAATTGCCAGACACAGCAAACGAAAAATTATAGAAGTGTATAGGATGACTCCGCGTTTGAATATCAAATCTTAAAGTTTTATCATAACTGTATTGAATCGTGCTTTGTTTTTATATTTTTCGGCTCTATACCTATGCACGACTATATTTAAAGTCAAACTCAATGGTGTCTTACAAGATACATTATTTTGATTTTCTATATTCAACAGAGGAGTAGAAACTCGACCCTGTCGAATGGTGCAGTCATATATGTCTCTAGAAATTATTAAAAAAGGGTTCAGTCCAATGGTGCAGCAACTTCGGATTCCTATTCTCCTCAGAGACATAGAAACTCAAGCTTTTCGAATTTTACTGGCAATGATTTTCGTTAATGTCCCCGAGAATTATACAAAAACAGCGCAATGCAATATCGCAACGGTTTCGACTTCTCTTTACTCTACCAAGTTATAGAAACTGGAGTCTCTCTAATACTGTTCTAGTCAATATTTCTGAGAGTATAAAAAGAGGGTGTAATATTGCAAGAAGTTTTGATCTTTTGATGGATGAATTTTCTCATTTCTCCATATGATTTTGTTGAAAATAGTTCCTTTCTTTGGTTCCTTTGTCTGATTTTTATTTACCGTAACAACTCAGGTATGTAGAGCACAGAGGAAATGATGTTAAGTATATTTATGTATTATATAAAGTACCTATATTTGTATTAAAAATTTAAGAGGTTATGTTGAAAAATGATCGATCGATGAAGTTTAATAGCATATTAAACTTTAATAATTTAGTAATTAGGTCTGTTGGTAGACCCTCCACTGGTATATGTTAATTTTGTAATATTTAAATCTGGTTGATGAAAAAGTACACACCAGTGCAGGTTATTGTAGCATCTACGAACAAATGAATTAATGGCCCATTGGCAATTATTCCTTTAGGAAAAATATTCAACACAGCTTAATTAATTAATAAAATGAAAAAAATCACAATCATGTCGTATATAGTTTTTTTTAAGCATAAAATAATGTTTATATTAATACTAGTTCCAAAGTGAAATTACGACCTCTATACTGTGGAGAGTATTGAAACGCTCGACTGACGAATACAACTCTATACCGTAGGGAGATTTAGAAATCGATATTCAAACGTGGCGTCATCCTATACACCTCTATAATTTTCCGTTTGCTGTGGACCTTTTATATAATATATATTATAATAGAAGTGGGTATTCTATATTTTACGAAAATCTTCTCCCTGTTGTAAATGACCGATTAATTCCTTATAGAAACCAATTGAAGTATTGGTTGGTATTAATAGGTCTGAATTGGACTTACTGGGTTTAATTGGGAGCGATATAAAACATAAATTGGTTTTTACTGGTATTTTCCATGATGGAAAAGTCCGATTAGGATTTTACTGTATTTTTAGTGGTTTCGATTGGTTAAAGCTACCAATGGGTAATTTCCAATTAAATTCAATTGGTCATTCCCAGTGTAAGATTCTAGAAAGAAATCTGCTAATTGGTTATTCCCAATACTTTAAAATATGGAAAAGTACAATTAGGATTCTACTGTTTTTTAGTGGTTTCGATTGGTTAAAGCTACCCATAGGTAATTTCCAATTGATTTCAATTGGGCATTCCCAGTGTGAGATTCTAAAAAGGAATCTGCTAATTGATTATTCCCAATACTTTAAAATATCGCAAGAGGGCTCTCGTGTAGCTGCGCAAAACCAACGTACGCAGTCCTTGTTCGAATGGTTGAGACGCCATCATAAATAAACAAACAAGTCTTTGGACTCTATTCTATGGTGTGTACTTATACCTTAAAAAAATGTTTATATGTGTAAGGTTAAGGGACGATGGCGTGAGAATGGTGGTTGCAGCAGACAAAATAAAAAATTGACATAAATAATATTGATTTTGACCATGTCTACAAACATCCTTTGCAAGAAGGACAAAAAAATTATTATAACCGAGTAATTTTATTTATTTTTTATTACTTTTTTTGTGTTAGTAAGTTATATGTATCAATACATATCTCACTAACACAAAAAAATAATAAAGAAATAAAGTTACTCAGTTATAATAATTTTTTTTCTCTTCTGTGAAAAATTAATTCTGGTTTTTACCCCGTTATTCTTCTGGGATCTTAATTATTTTTGAATGAAAAATCAACTAGTATTTTTAATCCAAATTTAAAAAAATAAATTGGTTTGAATGGGTTTGGCGCTACGAATTACCAATTTATTCCAGGTGCATTTCTATTGGATTTAGCCAATATAGACAAGCATAGGCATGGATTGGTATATTCCAATTTAAGCCGCTGACTTCTTTGGAACTTACCAATAGGAATGCAACTGGAATTAATTAGTAATTCATAGCGCCAAAACACATTTCAAACCAATTACTTATTTTTTATTGGATTCTATCGGTCATTTACAATAGGGATATCTTCCATGCTCCTAAAATATAGAAACAAATTCTTCTATATTTTATCATTTTATATATTATTATTGTTTGTATTGAGTTGTATTTAAAATATAATGTATACTATTTAAGACTTTTTTATTTTAATTTAACAAAATATTTTAAATGCTTAGTAGTTACATTTGTTGGAATTAAGTTAAATAGTTACAATAGTGGTCGGAAACTGGCCAAAATTCAAATAGAGAGCGAATTTATTTGAAAATAAATACCTTTATGTTTTTGGGGTCTGAAAATTCAAATTTGAGGTGAAAATATTAAAAAACAAAATGGCCGCCACACAATGACGGACGAACTTTGAAAAAACTGACGTCACGTTCGAAAAAAAGTAGTAGTAAGGGGTTTTCTGGGTCAAGGACCTCAAATTTTAAGCCAAAATGATTAAGAACAAGACGGTTACCACAAAATGGCTGTTTGTTTTTGTTAAAAATAACGTTGCACCCGTAAAATGAGTGTTAGTGTTTTCGGAGGTCAAGTTATACAAATTCAAGCCTACAATATAAAAATAAACATTTTATTTGTTTATTTAATTTAATATAAAATTAATTAAATTAATTTTCTCAAATAGAATCTTCATTTATAACTACATCCACATCACCCGGATATTCGACATCAGGCTCGTCAATATTGTACAAGTTGGGCTGCTCCTGCGTCCTTAAATCAA